TTGCAGGCCCAGGGCTGGCTGTGGGCACTGGGGTGGCTGTGGGCAGACAGGGTGCTTGTGACTCACAGAGTCAATCTCTGCGCCCACATTAACCCTTAGCAAGTTGATAAAAGCTGCTCTCTGTGCCGGATATTTGGTGTTCTGTGGCAATTTTATGCTGTTTCTCTTTGTTAACATGTCTCTGTAATAATAAGAGTTCTCTGTTTGATATATTTTACTTTCTTTGTAATAAGCCAAAAAGCTCATTGCTGGTGCCTTTTTGCCTGGGGGGCTCCCAGCCCACAGCTGTGCTCCTGGGAGTAACAAAGGCCAGTCTGCAACTGCTCCTTCCACCACAGCTGGGGGAAAGAGAGAAGCCAATGCCACAGCAGTGCCAGAAGAAAAAGAGCCGGCAGCCTTGGAATGGCAGAGAGACTTTGGGGTATGATGCTGGTTCTTTCTGGGGGCCTGGCTCCAAGGGGAGGGCTGAGCATGATACTGGACAGGCCTTGGCCCCATTTTGATGGGACTGTGACCCTGGAGACCCCAGAAACCCGTGCTGCAGGTGCAGCACACACAGCCTGGTCTGGCCCAGTTTGGAATCGCAGTGCTTTGCCCAAATTATAGCATTGCCTGAGGGTAAATTATCCCAGAGAAGGAATTAGATGGATTGTTGACACAGCTGTTTGGTTTTTTTTTTCTCTCTGTTTTGTTTTGGTTTTGTTTTTATTTTTTTTGTTTTGCTTGTTTTTTTTTTTTTTTTTTTTTTTTTTTTCTAATTGGAACTGAATGCATTGGCTAAGGAAGAGAGAGCCCCAGAGTGTTTTGGTACCATGGGCTGGACTGTGATGACAGATGCTTCTGGGGCCAATGGAGTGCAGTGCAGGATGCCCTGGGGACAACTGCAACTCTCAAGTCCCCGTGTGGGACTGAAGGATGTTAATCTGCATAACCAAAGAGAGGGGCCTGCCTGGCACCCAGGTAAAGAAACAGATGACACCGTGCTGGGGGTAAATGAAAATTCTCCTTTCTCTTTCAGCCATGCCTGGGGCCCACATGAGCACCCAGCCATGCCACAGGGTGGCCCCTCGTGCTCAGTGTTCAGTTCCTTTTGTAACCTGAAAATCCGCTGTTGTTCTGAGTCCAATAAATGCAGAATCTGGTTTGCTGGAGCCCTACCCTTTGCCTGCATTTGGCTTTTGTGTCGATTTTGTGCATGAAACGGCTGTGGGTATGATGGCTGCCAGCAAGCACTGGGAATCAGTGGGTCGTTTGCCAGTAGATGAGGCTGTACATTGGATCATTGCAGGCTTTCTTTCACAGTCAGATTTCACTATTAATCACATCTGAACTCGTAATTCAATTACATATCAATTGGCTAATCCTTTCATATATTCCTCTTTGGGTCTTTAAAATTGAATTTCAGTTGATTAATGTATTTCTTAAAGCAAGGAGCTAATAAAGGCCAGTGTCCTCCTGCTCTTGTCATTGTTTTTGGTATCTTTATGAACAGTTGTAAATCCATTCTTCTGCAACGTCTTTATAGAATTGACCTATGCTCTCCAAGCAATAAAGAAGATGCTTATCAGCCACTTGTTAATTCAAGTCACAAATGTGAATCCTGCCCAGGGCCAAGATTTGATTGACTGAGACAAAGCAAAGAGCTTGGGAAAAGAAAACCCAAACAAACCAAAAAGCTCATTGGGCCACAAATAGCAGGCAATGCCTGGTGTGTAATTGCACGGCAGCAGTCCACACACCATGCCCTGTGATCTGAAAAACAGTGTGCCAAGAGAACAAAAACACTTGGGTTTGTCAGCAAGGACCCTGATCCTATCCCTAGCTCTGAGTCACAGTGAAAAATTATTGTGTTATTTTAAAATTCACCCGTAATGGACACTGAGCAGGCCTCAGCTCCTCAGGGCTGGTGTGGCAGATTGGGTACCTGCCAGCATGCCAGCCCCAGTGTCACCTGCCAAACACTTGGACACCAGTGTCCCCAGGGACATTCAGGAGCCACTGGCCCAGTGCCTCATGGGATCCTGGACTTGGTCCCTCAGTGGCTGCACATCCTGAGCTTGCACTGGCCTTGGTTTCTGATGGCCCCAAACTCGTGTGGCTTGAACAAATTCAGGACAAATTTGTGAGGCTGAAGGACAAATTCACCTCACTCGACTCCTTCTGTCTTGCTGTGCTCCAGCCACCTCTGCTGCACATCCTGCATCCCACATCCTACACCCTGCACCCCCCTGCACAGCTCTCCAGGACATACAGGTCACAGGGAAGCTGCTGACCACCCTGGCCATTCCCAACTGCTCTAGCTGTGGGGCCTGGCAGCAGGGTGACAGCCACCATGCCAGCACTGGGGATAAGCCACATGCCAGCAGGCTCCAGAGCTGGCCTTTAAGATGCCTTGGCTCCCCAGCAGAATGGCACACCAAGCTCACGGGAAAATGTCCAGTCACCATGAAGAAGAAGTCAACCGAAAACATGCAAACATCATGAAAACCCCCAAATGACCCCATGCTTTAAGGTCATTCACTTTTTCTTGTCCTCATAGCAGAAAGTGGGATATTTTTAAAACAGACAGAAGTTCTGTTTCCTAAAATACTGATGATTTGTGTCAAATAGCCCTTTCAGCAGCGGTTCCCCTCCCTGGGGGTCTGGGAGTGCCAGTGCTGTGTGCCTGCCATGGTGCAGGGCTGTGCCTGTGCCCCCAGGATGAGCCAGTGGCAACCACAGACCTCAGTGGGGTCCCGCTGACTCCAGTGCCCTGGCACGAGGGACATCAGCCAACGCTGGCGTTTGCTCCTCACCCCAAACTCCGCTGCCTCCCTCTGCCAGCGGTGGGCAGGTGCCAAGGGGAGGGCAAACAGGGCCTGCCTGGCACGCCCCATGGCCCACCCCACAGGAGCAGGGTGGCTGCAGTGACATGGTGTGGTAGCATGGTGTGGAAACCTATGGGTATTCTCAGTTCAGTCAGAGAGAAAGAAGAATTTCTAACCAGGCTAGAGCCTGGGAAAGAGTTGCAAAGGAGTGTAAATAATTCTCCATCTCTCTTGTTGTTCACATTGTTTATAGGTATGTTCTGCCACCGTGTGTCATTCACTGCACACCACTGCTGTGAGATGTTTTTACTTTAAGACCAATGAAATGAGTCTGCACGCTGCTCTCTATAAAAGAGCGATGTATTTGAAATAAATTGAGTTAGTGTTCACTCATCTAGCCTTCTGAACTGGAGTTCTTTTGTTCCTGCCCTGTCTCAATGGGGACAGTGGCCGCCAGGAGAACCTGTGGGGCCAAGGCACTGAAGGGAGCCGGGGTGTGCAGGACACAGAGTGAGGAAGGATGGAGCTCTGGGAGGATGGAACCCATGGGGACTTGCCTCTCTGAGCCTTCATGGGCATGGCCCATTTTATGCAGGATCTCAAGAATTGTCAGAAGTTCTGCCTTGCAGGAGCACTTAGAGACACTGGCAGAGGCTATTAAAGCACTTCTTAACCTTCTGAAAACACAGAAAATGGAAAATGTTATGGCCTTTAGTGGTTCAAAGCGTCTCCTGATTGTTTAAACCAATCACAGGATTTTTTGGAGGCCCGACCTGATTTACAGCCATATGTACAGGCCAAGAAACCTGCTAAGGGCAGCCAGGAACCCGCCCAGGGCAGGGAGCTGCTCCCAGCTCGGAGCATCCACATGGGCAGTGGTGTAGTGGGATGGGTCAGGGAATGAGAGCTGAAAACTACAGCTCTGATCCTCCAAGGAGTACCACGTGGGTGGATTCCGGCGCCTTCATGGGTCTTTGTGTAGCACATAAATTTCAGATGTCAGTGCTCCACTAAGTATATTTCAATTCTAAATTTATCACACAGATGTGTCTGCTGCAGAGTCTTTGGCCTCTTCAAATTCTTCCTCTGGGAAGAACTCTGTGAGGCTTGGGCTCAAGCTTTGGAACTTCTTGTTTTGTTATCTTCTCTCTATAAAAAACTGAAAGGTTTTACTTGTGCTGGAAAATAATTTTCTTGCTCGTATTGAATCCAAATGTTTTCTGCAAGAAAGCAAGCCAGGCACCTGTGGGTTGGGAGACAAGGATTGTTGGGGCAGTGCCTCAATGCTCCTTCCAGTTCACAATAATTTCATACATGGCCTAATGAGGAAAGGGAACAGTTTAGTTCCCCAAATGCTGCTGTTTTCAACACATCCAACCCTGGAAAAATTACAGCCCCACAAGGAAACTTTTGAGAGAAACAAGAAGCCAGAATAAAACAAGGAGAAAACCCTCCAGCTGCTGCTCCTGGTGCTTTGTGTCGGGCCGGAGCCAGGGCACGGCACTGACCTCTCAGAGCTGGCAAACCTGGCTGGGGCTGCACAAAGTAATTTCAGGGGGATCCCAAAAACACCGACCAGCCCCGAGCAGGGTGTGGGTGGGAACGCTCCCCTTCTCCAGCTGGGGAGCCTCGTGGCTGTGGAGGCAGCTTGGCTGTCCCTGGGCCCCCAGGAACACCTTTTGGAGTGGTCACCTCCGTCAGGCTTCTCCAGAAATCCAGGCTCCAAAACTGGCTGCGAGATTCCTGTGTCAGAGAGAGAAGCTGTTCCCTCCTGGGAGAGGGCTCGATGTTAAATAAAAGCAAACACTGGTACACAATGTCAGAGTCAAAATGGGGGGGAACAGATGTGAGGAGGGGAAAAGAGTGCTGGATAGATGGAAAGAAGCCACTGGTGGTCACAGGAAAACCAGAGTCTCAGTGACCCACAGCACATGACACTGTCCAGGCATTATTCAGCCTTGGCAGGGCAGCTTCTCCAGTTAGAAAAATGTAGAAAACCAGCTTTGGGGACTGCAAACCCAGAGTGCGGCTATGGCAGAGCCCAGGGAGCTCCCAATCCCATGGACACAGCCCTGTGTGGCCTCCCTGGGGCACAGAGCTGGGCTCCCACAGCAGGGCTCCCTGCAGAGGAGGCAGCAGTGGGGGCAGCACTTGGGCCCGGGGTGAAGGGAACAAAGCACACCGAGATGGCTGTTTCACTTCATGGAAACTTTATAAACACTCGCAGTAACCTAAGCTGGTACACATCACAATGGCTCCAGGGCTGATGCTGGGGGCTGCCGTGCTGCACAGGGCGATCTCACATTCCCAGCTGTCACTCCTGGGCCACTGGCAGCAGGGATTGGGTCCCACAGCAGCAGGGACTGTGCCTCATGGCAGCAGGAATTGGACCCCACAGCCCCCTGCCAGCACAACCAGCATCCCCCACTGCTCCAGCTGCTGGTCCCCAGTGTTCAGCTGCACCCAGAGGTGCAGGAAAAATCAACACAGACATACAAATGACAAAGAATTTTAAAAGGACACCATGAAATAATCTGCAAGAAGCTGCCTCTCCCCACTGCTCACACTCTCTGATGGAAAACCGACCACCCTTGGATTCTCCCTACCCATGGAGCCAGGCTCTGTCCTGGGGGTCTGCGCTGGGCAGTGGGCACGAGCAGGAGAGGATGTGACAAGCCACTGCTCCCACAGAATGTCACCTCCAGTGCCACGTACATCTGCACAACCCAAGGAGTGACAGGCTCGAGGGGTCCCCAAACAGCAGCCCAAAGCAAGAAAGACAGTAGGGAAATGCTGGCCTTTTGTGCAGGAGCCACAAGCCCAACACCCCAACAGGGCCAGGGGGTGACATGCTGCAGGCACGTGGCCCCAGTGCCAGGCTGGTCAGAGCAGCTGGCTCCAGCTTCAGCTCCACCCTACCTGTTCAGAGAACCCTTATCAGAACCCTGTGCATTGTCCTTGAACCCCTGGCGAGGGGCTGCAGCAGGAGGGGCCAGCACAGCCCAGGTGCTGCCAGTGCATGTGGCACAGCCTCAAGTGCCACAGCACAGGGCTGGTTTGGTTTGAAAGCCACTTACATGTGCCAGGCCTAAAGGAGGGAGCAGCTGAAGCCAAGGGAGTGAGAGCACCATGGACATGACACACGTGAGCTCCAGTGTGTGCCATTCAGCAATACGAGACACGAGGTCACACAGGGGCAGAGCGCCGGGAGATGGGAAGGGCCTGCGCCGGGCAGAACACCATGCTCGAGGGAATGGAGCACCTGGGAATGTTTGGCCACTGGTTTGCAAATGCTCTCAGCACCTAAAGGAAACCATTCAAAAGGAGGGAGTCATCTTTGGGTGGGTGGAGGAAGCAAGGAAGCAGCTCTCTGCCATGCTCAGCCCTGGAGCTGGGCCCTGGTGGCAGCTGGAGCAACAGACAAGCCTCTACTGCTACAGAGGTCCTGGCCAGGGACACCTCCCGGGCCAATGGGCATCATCCACAGGGCCGTGGCTGAGGGACAGGCTGGGCATCTCATACTGGAAATGAATAAACAAGCAAACAAGAAACTGAGCAGTTCTTAAAACAAAACAAAACAAAACAAAACAATGGGTTTGACCCACAAACAGTGAGTTTCAGATCCTCAGCACCTCTGTGCTGGCCACCGCAATCACCCAGGACGGAGACTTCTTGGTGGGCCTGTGAGAAGTGGATCTGGTGGGAGTGTGGCTCACATGGAAGAGGAGGCAGTGGAGGAAGAGGAAGAGGAAGAGGAGGAGCACCTGCTGCTCCCTTCCCCCAGCGGCACCCTTGGAGGCTGCTGACCCGAGGGTGCTGCCTGACAGCTGGTCCCAGGCAAGGCTGTGGCCATGGCTCAGGCCAAGCCCCCGGCCAGGCCTGTCTGTCAGCGTAATGACCCAGGCCAGGGATGTCCAGGAGATGAGGAGACATGCCACAGAGCTGAGCACAGTGATCCCCCCATCCCTGCCCAACCTGTGTCACCATGGGCAGCGTTTCCAGGCACAGCTGTCCCACACACTGACACGCACCAAGCGAGGGACACAAGCACAAAGGAAGGGGCTTCTCAGGGCAAGCAGGGCAAGGGGGGACTGCAGCTGTTTTGCCCTTGCATCCAAACACAGAGACTCAGCCCTCGTGCTGTCCATACACCCTTTTCAAGGCATGTTTCCTGAAAGTGAGCAGGTGAACAGGGGCTCCACTGTCCCTTCCACAGGCGGTCTGTGTCCCCCAGCCCTGCCCATGCTGCCGTCACCTGCACGGGCACACACGAGAGAGGAGAGAGGAGAGCTTGGAGGGCAGGGAACAGTTCAACACGGATGTGTGGGCAGGACCTGCTCTCCATTGTGGTCTCCCTCTCTTAATTTCTTCGTGGGTCTCCGAGCCCACTCGTGGCTTGGAAATCATCATCCGGTAAGATAGCTGCTCTCCAGGGCACTGGGGCTGGCAAGGCTCAGCTCTGACTCCTGGGTCACAAGCACAGAAAGTCTCCTGGGTCCAGCTGGGCTGAGGTGTGCTTACAAAGCCTGGAAGAGAAAACAAGTTCTATGTTCTGTGCAGCAGTGCAAATCCACCAGTAATGGCAGACCACTGAACCCCACAACCCCATAAATGCTGATTTGTCTTACATGTCTGCTTTCAGTTTATCATTCCATTTGTTGTAATAAACACGTACCTTTAGCCTCAGCTGTCATCACTTGGGATCCTGCCTTGTGGTGATGAAGAACTGGATAAAAGGAAGTAGAAAAACAGAGAAAAAATGAGTGCAAGGAGCAAGCTCCAACTCAGCTCCACAAGCTCCTCGAGGCTGGGTAATGGGCAGGGAGGGGTCTGTTTTGCAATAGCACAAATGTTTTCTCTCTCACTACCAGCAGCAGTTCTCAGACTTACACACAAACCTGCTCTCTCTTGGGCAGAGACTGGCAGCTTTTCAGAGCAGGAAGCTGAGATTTATTTGGGCAAATATTATCACAAATGGCACCTGCTGCCACTCAGAGCCAAGGGCTTTGCCCATGCTGTGTCCCCATAAGCCCCTATCTCCCTGTTTGCACACCCCCTGTGCTGGACCCAGCCATGCTCTCTCAGCAGCTGCTGGGACCTAACCAGCCCTCATCACCTCACCCATGACCTGATCTTCCCACAGAGCCTGAGTATCACAGAATCACAGCATAATGAGGTTGGAAGAGACCTCTAAGATCATCAAGTCCAACCTATGCCCTAACACCTCAACTAGACTACAGCACCGAGTACAGCAGGCATTACATCACACAGACCCACACACATGGTAACAGGGATCCACAGGGATGTTTCTCACTCGGTGCATTTAACTTAGCAAGTCTGTATCTGGACTCACATTTTTAGCTTTGTGCTCTTTATTTAGTTTCAGCATTTTAGCTGAGCCCCATCTGCTGTTTGTGAGTACAAGACAAGGCAGGCCTGGGGCTGGGGCTGTCTGTGCTGGCTCTGCCTCAGAGGGAGCATTCTGTGCTGCAGGGCTGCTGCTCTCCACATGCAGCCTTCCCCGTGCCAGCCTTACCTGCCTGTTCTTCGGGACGCTGTCTCAAAGAACTTGGTCCTAGAGGCCACCCTGCAAAGAAAACAGGAGAAGTCTCTCTTCTGATTCGACCTGGCAATTTGCTAATGAGATCTGCTCTGTGCCAGGGGAATGAGCTGCAGCATTGGCAGAACTGCAGAGATCACCTTCAACTGACAGTTCTTGTGCCAAGGCATAGCTGGGCTCCTTCTGTGCTCACTCCACCCCCACATCCCCCACCAGCACTTTGGCTGGACTGTTTATAGAACCATGGAATCATGGAATCATTCAGGCTGGGAAAGATCTCCAAAATCATCGAGTCTAACCTTTGACCAAACACCACCACACCAGCTAAAACATAGCACCAAGTGCCACATCCAGTCATTATTTCCATGTTCTTGCCTATAATCCTGTGTGCATCCATCCCCTTTATGGTCTTTCCTTCTTATGTGCTCAAGAAAGAGAAATTAAATTATCTCAGAGAAGGAATTTAGGCAGTTCTGGCACAGAGCTGACCCTCATGGCACCTTTTGTTTTCTTTAGGTTAATTCCCACTAAAGCCAGCAGGGTTTTTGACTCGCTTAAAATCTGAAAGAAATCTGAGGATGAGATGAAGCTGAACTCCATAGTTTCCTTAAGAAGATCCAAGCTGGATCTTGTCCTGCCCCAGGAAGTGTCTCATTTGAGGGGTTTGCTGGAGGCAGGCAGGAAAGGGCTCAGCTCCACTGACCCAGGAACAAAAGGGAAAGGGATGGGGCAAGGCTCAGCCCTTGGGCTGTGCTTGAGCAGCCCCAAAGCTTCGTGTTTGCCTTTGCTGTGGCCCCACTCCCCTCCCTGGCCATGCCATCTTCTCAGCTTTGCAAGTGACACTCAAACCTGCACTTGCACCAGTGCCAAAGGGACATCCATGAGCTCCAGCCACTGAGCCCCCAGGTGTCCCTGCCAGCACCCAGCATCCACCACAGGCTGCTGGCTTACACAGATGAGGGCATCTCCTCTGCTGTGCCTGCTATCAGATCTGGCCTCTGCTCCAGCTTTGGAGGGATGGGAGTCCGGCACGGTGGATCCGGAGGTCTCACAGGGGGACGCGTTATCACAGGTTTATCACCATGGGAACGTGGCTTAGGGACACCGTCACAGTCACCTGCAGGGATGGAGATAACAAACACTGAACAGAAAGCTCTGGAAGAGGCCAGATATTTATGAAGAGGCACTAAACAGGTCCATGGGTTTAGTTCTGTCCCTCTGCCTCAACACTCTCTCACTGACAGTGGCCAAAAGACAGAATAGAGGGACAGAGTCCAGGAAAAGGAAGTTCCCACGCTACCTGTCTCAGAAAAGCTTTGCTGGCACTGGGAACAGGGGCTGGAGCTGGACCTGCAAGGACAAACTCAATGCAGTTGCTGACTGTGAAGCTGATACTTCCTGGGAATGACAAGTGTTCTTAACCCAGCCCTGTGCAGTGCTGCTCTATGAAAGAGAGAGAGGAACAGCACAAACTGGTGATTCCTGCAGCTGAGCTTTCATCCGGGACAGTCACACTACGGCTTCTTTTCTTCCCCAAGATTAGGCAATGTTACTATTCACTTAACCCTTCAAAGTCTTTAAGAGTCAAGTCAACAAGGAATGAGTGCAGACTTTATCCATGCCCACACCTTAGGCTGTCTGGTCTCCCAGCCACTCCTGCTGAACTCCATTGAGAGGATTCAAGAGGAGAGGCCCAGGGAGGGCTGATTTGGGCACCTCGGGCTTGCCCTGGCTCTGGCCAGGCCCCTGGCACACACTCACCCTCTCTGCCACAGACGCCCGGCCGTGGCGCCGGTCTCCTGGCCTGCAGCGTGGCTGTCCTCAGGGCAGGGCTGGTCACCACGCCGTTGGCCGCCCTGGCAGCTGCCTTCGCCCCTCCATCCTGCAGCCTGCTGCCCAGCTTCCCCAGGCTCTCGGCGGGGGCACGCCCCGGCTCGTCCCCCCCTGGCCGGGGCGCGGGCAGGCGGCTGCGGTGCAGGGGTCTGGGGGCCTCCACGCCGCCGCCGTTGGGGGTCTGGCCGAGCCTCTCTGCTGTGGGGACAAGAGGGCAGAGAGCCGTGGGGTTAGGTGTGTGCCATACTTGGTGTGCCTCCAAAAGCCACCCATCTTGCTGTGCTGCAGAACTAGGAGCAAGCAGGAGCTCTGCTATGGACACTACTGCTCCCTGCAGCCTCAGGGCAGACCAAAGTGAACAAATGCTTCTGCTCCCAGGTGAAGGAGCATTGAAATGGCCAGCCACAACTCCGTTAGTGTCTGCAGTTTTTCAGAGCAAGGTGAATCCATCATGTTTTGCCTGTGTTACAAAGTGCACTTTATACCTAAACATCATCAGAGCTCTTAAAACTAATGGAGAAAGAGACTTTCCATCTCTTTGGTGACTGTAGAATCAGGGCACAGCCTGCACTGACAACTAGAGTAAATCAGGTGCAGAAACATGATCTTAAAGTGATGTGCCCTTTGCTGTTAATCCAGCTGACTGTAAAGAAATGGTGATGCCATTATGTTATGATAATGTCAAAGTAGAACTTAATCTAGAAAATGCCTTTACTGCTTCCTGAAAAAGTACTTTGGAGTTCTTGCTCTGGATGTGGAACTGCCAGCAGCTGAGCCAGCTTGAGACCTCCTTGGGCCCCCTGCAGCACAGCTCTCCCTGGCTACCATCCCACCAACACCCCATGCAGTTTTTTTGCCTCTGATGCCACAAAACCTCTCCTCTGAGCCTCTCCTGTGCTAATAACCAGCCTTAGTTTAGCTAATGGAGAATGCAGCAGGTAGCAGAAAACCCCAAATCCCAGAAAGTCTGACTTGTGACATGATGCAAACAATGTATGAGTGTTTTTGGCTTTCCTTGCTCTCTGAGCAGCCCTCACTGCCTGCCATGTCCAGGATCTGGAAAGTGCAGCCCTGCTGCTGTTACCTCCATTGTTACAGGAAGCAGGAGAGGTGAGAAGCAGGCAAGGCATCAGGGAACAGCCGGACTGACCTCCACTCTCCTCCACAGAGGCACCAAAGAAGACAGGTCTCTCCCTCAGGGGACGCTTGGAGATGGTGATGGGTTTGTGCCGCCGGGCAGCCACCCTGGGTGGGGGCACTGGGGGGGCTGTGGTGTCTTCAGGGGGGCCAGAGTAGATCTGTAAAGGGAGACACGTTCAGGTGACCTGACACAAAGGGGCTGCTGCCTCACCTCCTGCTGCAGGTGCCCCTGTCCAGCACAGAGGGTGATGGTGGCCACCACTGACACTGTCCCCACCACCGACACTGTCCCCACCACTGACACTGTCCCCACCACTGACGCTCTCCTCCCCACTGACACTGTCCCTGCAGCTCAGCAGGAAGATCACAAACACAAACAATTTGTAGAAACAAATTCCCCTGGAGCAGATGAGGAAGACTTTGGAGCTGACAGCTCGTGACCAACATCAAGATTCCCATTGTCACAGAGATACAATCCCTGAATCACCCAAACCAACCCTGCATTGTTCCAGATCTAACACTAAAACCCTTCAGCTCTTGGTTTACAATGACACATTTGGCACCAGGAAATTACCTGGGATAAAATACTGGCATAAAAGCAATTCTACTGAGAAGTTTTATCTCCTTTTCTCACTGGTCCTGTGGCACCTATTTAGTTGGGATTAATTGAGAGGTTCTCATTTATATCAAGGCTTTTTTTAAGAGCTGAAAATGAAATATATCTGAAGAGCTGAAACACCCTATTAAGGCCCAAAGCAGCTGCTCCTGTGTTCTTCCCAGGGATGTTAATTGAAGTTTTATCAGGCTTTAAAGCCTGAGTTACAATGGAGAGGTGGCCTGAGCTGCTGAGCCCAGAAGCTGCACTGCCTGTCCTGGGAGATGTGGAGCTGGACCCTTCCTGGCTCCAGCCCAGAGGAGGAGAGCTGTGCCAGCCTCACTGGCATGCCGGGTCACCACACCCTTGGACTACACTTCAATATGGAAAAACAGCTTAATTGCATCACGCAGAAAAATCTTACCATGAATAAATGTAACATTCTGATTTAAGCGTCTCATTTTGGTAATTCAAACCAAAAGTATATTCCTTCTTCTCTGGGCCAAAGAGAAGGGCTAGGAGACCCAGATGGGGGATGGGAGAGGAAAATATGTCCCTAGTTTAAACTCCTTGGTCCCAAGTGTGTGCCTGGGGAGGGCGGGCAGCGGCAGGCGGCTCCCCACATCCCACGGTCAGGCTGCTCTGGCCCAGCCTGGGCTGGCTTTGGATAAATCCACGTGTCAGGACCAGGCTTTGCTCCCAACAGCCTGTGCCAATATGCATGAGGAGAGGAGAAACAACACAGAATGGTTCAGTCTGAAAGGGCGCACAGTGGGTCATCTGGTCCATCCTCCCTGCTCAAGCAGGGTTTCCCTAAGGAGCAAATGGCCCAGGATTGTGTCCAGACAGTTCTGGAATATCTCCAGTGAGGGAAGATTACACACCCACTCTGGAAAAGAAAAAAACCACACTCAGGGTTTGGTGACACAGGGCAGGTGCTGGCTCACTGCCTGCTGGGCTCTGGGCAGGGGCAAGACACGTTCCCCAGTCCAAAACACAAAGTCTGAGTACTGGAGTACTCTTTGCTGTGACACAGCAGCGCATGAATTAAAAGCAGCAGCTCATGTATTAATAAAACAGTAAAGAGTTGCCTGTAGGAGGGAAATTTTTTGGAAATATCAGCCTCACCCCTCTATCCTGAGCAGAATCCAATCCTGCTTTTAAAAGAAATATTAAGCTCCCCATGGACACTTACACAAGTACCAAAGAATACTGCTTTCAACACCTGAAACCCAAGCTAAACCAACCACAAGTGACAGTGTTTAAGAGGTGGGTGCAGGCTCTGATTTACTTCTAATTGAAAATCAAGTTAAATAACATAAAGGTACAAAGATATTGACAGACTCTCACCTTAAGGAGGTTTGTACAGTGAAGAAGGTGTTTCCAGAACAATCAACCTATTTAATTTAACCACGGCATTGAAACATGAGCCGTGGAAACAGCAATTATCCACAAACACTTCATGAATAGTTAACTGTCCTCAGAATCTTCAGATTGCACCATATAACCCATATCCCCTCTTCCTCCAAGTCTCATCTGAGTTGTTTGCTCATGTGTGAGCTGCAGACTCTCTCAGCTCCAACGCTGAACTTAAAAACTCAATCCAATAAATGTGACTAACTTAACCTTATTGCTGGAGAAATTAAAAGCAAGCAAAACGACATCTGGCTTAATTAAAGCTCTCAGAGGTGGAAGGGTATGTTGATTCAGACTGTGCTGCAGGCTGTAAGGAGAGGAGCACAGAGTCTCATCTCTGGAGCGAGAGTGTGAGATCCCAGACACAAACCAGCCCCTGTTTTTCTGCGGGAACTTATTACAAGTGTTCATAGAGACCTATAAAGGAATTGTCTGGTGTTTCCATGAGCTTCTGCTCTGGGTACTCAGCAGCCTCTCTGAGCTCTTTCATCCCGTTTCAATCCTTGGTATCACAGCAGACTCCCACTCCCTCATCTGGTCCCATACCCCTGTGTTGTCCCCACCTGGTTGCTCTGGCTCCACATCCCTGTTGGCAAGAACCTTGCTGTTCCAGCTTTGGCTGCCTCTTCCCTTTCCAAAGGGAGCTTTGCCCCTGCCCATGTGCAGCCCCCTCGCAGCAAACAGCATCCCTGAACGAACTGTGTACACTGTGTACTCTGCTGGAGGACCCAACCTGCTCCTTGGCACCCAGGGCTGTTACCAGGGCAGAATCTTCTCCCTGCTCGGGATCTGCTGCTCTGGATGCAAAGGCTGCTCCAGCTTTCAATATTAACGCCCAGCTCTTGTAATCTCCCAGCCACCAGACGCCCCTGAGGTGTCGGGTATCACAGCAAGTGTGAGCACAGACACAGTGGAACATTCTGCTCTCCAAAGGCACAGCTCCACATGACAAAGCTGCTGTCTGCACATGCATTTTCTGCACCACCCCAGCAACCAGACCCTGGCTGGGCACATGGGCGATGCTGAGGCTGAAATATGAATACCCAGCATAGATGCATGGCCCAGGGACATGGGCACCAGCCTCGGCTCCTCTGAAGGCCCCAGCCCAGGCAGCAGCTCCCTCAGACTCCCCCTCAGCCCAGGGAGCACCTCCCACAGGCTCTCCATACCATTTCCACGCCATCCCTGTGTCTGTATCTGAACGCAACCACAGCCGAATTACTTTCATCAACCATTCAACACTTGTCTGCTCTAGGTTTTTTCCACTGATTTAACACATATGCAGTGTTTCCTCTTGAACTGTGCTCATTAAAACCAATCCTCCTCTGGCCTAGCTCCGGTCTAGCAAAGGAAAGAGTGAAGCCCTGTAATGCCTGGTCATACAATAGGGTTTTTTCCAATAAAGCTTCCCCTTGTTTAAAAAGAACAGGCAAAAATGCCCAGACTCACTGTTTCTTCTGGGACCAGACAACAGCAACACTGAGGAACACACCTGCTGCCCTTTGCTTCCTCCTGAAGCCTTTCAGAGCAGAGTGTTACATAAAGGCAGCCCAAGGAGACTCCAGAAGGAGCCCGAGCGCTGCCGTGTTACCACAGCAACAGTCTGCAGGAGCAGGCTGGAGCTGCCCCGTACCTTCCCAAAGTGCTCTATCAGGATCTCCACCACGATGTTTTGGAACTTGATGTTCATCATGGCAGCCACAGTGTCCTCCTGTGCTCGCATGAGGGTGGGCCCGAAGATCACCCCCATGTTGGACGGCGACATCAGGTTCTCCCGGCTGTGCTCACACACGCTGCAGAGGCAGGGGAAGGAGGGACAGAGTTTGGTTTGGTTTGTTTTTCCCAAACAGATCTTATTCCAAGGGAAAAAAAAAAAAAACAACAAAACCCAAAAAACAAAACCCAGGATACATTAAGAATCAGTAATTCAATTTTCTTCGTTGTGTTTCAGAATTTGTTTCCCAGCAGTGAAAAACATAGCTCTAGCTCTGACACACACATTTGGCTTGAACAGATGCTGGAGAGAGCAACGTGCTGACAGCATCTTTATTTGATCTCTTCCCACTCCCAGCTCCTCTTTAACTCTGCAATCAAAAATTATCTGCACAACATATGCAGAAAAGGAATAATTTAAATCCTATATCCTATTTCTGCAGCACTGACTTCTGACTTTAATTTCTTTCCCTCTGAAAGAAGAGAATTGAATATAGGGAGCACACTATGGAAGTTTCCAATACATTTGTGAGGAGTGACAATTTACAGCCCCTGCTCTCAATGAGTGTTTTCATTTTTAAATTATTTCCTGCTGTGTGCATATCTGAAAGGAGATGGAAGGAACCACCAGAAAGAGAAGCATCAGTTCATGCAGAGGGCAGCAAGGATAGTCACCCCATTTGTGCAATCAATGTGAAAATTCCCAAGGGGACTACAGTGGATAAAATTTGCAAACCTAACCTCCCAAAAAGGCTCAGCCTGCTGATTCCATTATTCCCCTTTCTTTGGTTTTAGAGGAAAACATCTGCTTACTTGACAAGGTGCTGGATGAGGAGTTCTAACATCTCCCTGTTCTTGTCAGGCAGTTTATACACCAGTGCATGAATGGCTCCCAGCCTGTAATCCAGGTTCTCAGACTCTGGAAAACAGCAACACAAAGAAGAATTTATACCCCACACTTTCAAATTAAATGCACCAGGGAAATATAAAGCCAAAGGAAACCTGTGGAAGCTATTCCCTGTGCAGCATGGGAGCAAAAGGGAGCAGAGGGAAGTGAGATTTCACAGCAACAGGGTGAACACTGTGAGAAACAATATGAAGTGGAAAGAGGAAGAAATGGAACTTGAAAGGGAGCCCAAGGACACCCTCCAAAAGAGGCTGGGCATGGGCAGGTCCTCCCCTTCACACCCTTGTTCCACACACCTGGGAGTCTATAAGCCCAGAGAGCTCTGACACTGAACAACACCTAAAAATATCCTGCAGGGAAAAAACCTGAGTCCCTGACCCAAAGAGGTCACCATTAGAAGAATAAATAATCAGGAAACAATAAAACACTCTGTGTGAACAGAATAGTGTGGGGCCTGGGTGGCTGGGAAGCTCAATGGTTCAAGTTTCTGAAGGAGAGTAGGGAAGGGGTAAATGTCCTGCCCACACCCAGACATCCTGGGCTTAACCAGCTCTGCAATGAACAAATCCTGGGCTTGACCACCTTCAGCAAGAGGTGGAACATTTCCCTTTCCAAGAAAGAATAGGTGTTATTCATTCTCCAGAGGGACACATGAAGAAGTGGGCACCTTCCCAGTGTCCCTGTGATTTCTGGAGCCACAGTGGGATGAGGGATGCTCTAATCCCACACATTTCCAAATGCCAGCACTCCCATGCTGAGGGTGATGACCCTCATCATGCTCTCTGCATCCCTGTCTCCCTCACAGGTTCACAGCTGTCATAGCTTATCTGCAATGGCCACAATGAGGTGACAGCCAAGGAACAGCTTCTGCTCCCAACTGCGACTCAATCCCAACAGCTACAGCAGGGAAATGTCTTCCGTGGATTGTTTCAACATCCCAGGACAAATTTCACAACCTAAAGGGAACACCTACTTATATTGGTGGCAAGAGCACATCCCATTCCCTCACAGGTTTTAAAATAAATATATCAATACCAGGGGGAAACAATTCTTGTGGCTGCTTTCAAGTGAGTGACATCCTTTGGCGCTCCAGACCCCCTGAGACCACAAGACCCTGTCTGAGGGAAGGGCACTGCAGGAGCAAAGGAGGGAAGGGAACATCCAGAACCACATCCCCTGCACTTGGAGAAGAGAGCCTCAGCTCTCTCTACAGGTGAAGCAGCTGGACACCACAGAGCTGGGCTGGCAGAGCTCTGCCAAGTGATTCTGATGGACCCTGGCTGGGGAGAGCAGAGCCAGGGGCCATCAGTGGAGAAGCTGTGGGACTTACTGGCAGCCAGGACCAGCTCTTTGTGGAGCTTGTACGTCATGACGGGTTCAGACAGGTTCCTGCAACAACCAGAAACAAAACTCAGCTCTGCAGGGCAATTGTGACCCACTTGTGACATGCTGGACCAATGGGCAAACTGGCTCAACCCTCAGCGCCACCAAGGCCCAATGGCATTTCCCTCTGCAGTCACTATCAGTGAAAGAGCCCTCCTCATGGGACTGAGGGATTCTGCAACACCCATATTTATCATTCTTCTTCCCAAAGCCTTTGTCACTTGGTCCTTTTCAACAGCCAGATGTGAATATCTGGCAGCTCATGTCACCTTTCATCAGCCCCAGTCCCTTTTGCCTCCTTGGGGCAGGTGTGACCTGCAGTGCTACCTGAGATAGAACTTCAGTGAGCTGGTAATGGTCTTGATGTCCCAGTCCCCACTCTGGAGATCCACATCCCCAGGGCATTTTGGATCTGGAAGAAGAATGAAAAGGTTTTAGAATAAAGTTTATTCAGAGGTTGCTAATAAACAGTCAGATCGGGGTGGGGGATTCCCCTTGAGATAAACAAAGCCACAGCAGCACACACCAGAGCTCCTAATTCCCATGGCTGGGAAAAGCAGAAAAACAGCACCAGTGTCAGGGTTTTGGAGAGGCTGGGGAGAGGTGCTAATGAGGGACAAAGAGGGAAGCACAAGGTAAAATTTAGGCAGTGCTGACAAGTCATTGAGAACATATTCTCTATAGCTTATTTTTTCAAAAGGCTGGCAGAAACAACGGATTTCAACAGGTCCAAGACAAACTTTCTGACATCCAAAGTAATCTGGATGTCAGCTCAAATCTCTTATTTGCAGCTACTCCCCTGAAGGCTGTTATGAAAGCATTCCCTCTTGCTTCACAGAGAGGAGGAAGCTCAGGGGAGGCTCAGCAGTATGGAAATACAATTTGCCCCAATAAACCACATCATATCCCTGGCACCACAAAGTGAAGGATGTAGTTGTAGGACGGGGGGAAACTGGACTACAGAAATAAACAGCAGGATTTATTTTTGAAAATAAATAGGACTAGAGACTAAAAAAATAATTAAATTATCTCCTTTGAGTGGTTATAGATGAAATCCTGCTGCAGCAGTTATTTCTGTGGTGTTGGACTTTCCATTATGCTTTCATATGCAGTGGGGTGGCAAGTGGTTACCCAGACCCATGCAGATAAACAAAACAAAAAGCCACTCACTGGTGGGATTCAGAGGAGAAAACCACAGAGCTGCTCACAGGGAGGGTGAGAATCAAGCAGCAATGGAACCTGAGGCTTAGCAATGAATCACAGGCCAGCAGAGCTGGGCAGATGCCCGAAGTCATGGCTCTGGGAGAACTGGGCATAGCCAGACACTGGTACAAACCATGGTTTTAATAAACAACATCCAGAGTAGAAGCAATAGGAAACAGCCAAAGCCTCTGAATGCTGCATTAATATCAGATTCTGAGCTGGCATGAGCCCGAGGCACGCAGGCAGAGAGGTGAACGCAATCTCTGCCCTGGGCTCTGGCCCCAGGCAGGGCTGGGGAGAAAGGCTTGGCCTTGGTAGGTGGGGATCAACCCCAGAGGCTCCCTGAGAGGCTCACAGGTGAGCAGGAGCTGAGGCTACGATGGCCTCAGCCAGAAGGGCCTGTCCTGGCACAAGGCAGTGCTGCTGAACCCCTCAACCTGCCAAGACTGTAAACACTTCCCCAGTTGCCAAGGAAGATCCAGCCACAGGAAGGCTCACAGCAGGGATGCATCCATTGACTTCTTAACATGTACATTGGCTCCTTATGGTACACACTGCACACAGCGAGGTGCCCCCATCCTTCCAGAGAAAAACCTTACACTAGGGTGGAGGGCTCCCTGCAAAGTCCACCTTCCCAGTCCAGCTCATTGTGTTATCCCAGGAAAGAAGGGGAAGATGAGCCTCAGAGGGGTCACAGGGACCAAAACCCATGCTGGACACTTCTCACTGTGGAACCCAATCCTCTCTATCCCTCACAAACAATTCAAGAACAGAATTGCACAGAATAATCAATTCTTACCAAAAAAGGCATTCAGTAACTTCTGCACCTGGATATTGCTGCCAACAGTCCGGTACACGCCCTCCGTAGTGATTCCTAAGAGGGCAAAGCCAAGAGCGTTAGCCGAGGTTTCCTGCTGGTGGTCCACAAGCCCCATCTAGTGGAGTTCTTCTCCTGCTGCGGGGCTCTGTCCCACACCCGGGTTCTGTCCCATATCCCGGGTTCTGACCCATGTCTGGGCTCTGACCCATATCCCGGGTTCTGTCCCATATCACGGGTTCTGACCCATATCTGGGTTCTGACCCATATCCCGGGTTCTGTCCCATATCTCAAACCCTGTCCCACTCTCCAGGCTCTTCAGGTAGGGGCTCCACTCACCCCAGCATCTGAGGCCACCAGCACCACCGTGGTCACCATGTCACGGCCAGGTGAGCACAGCCAGGGTGTGGGACACACCAACCCTCACACCCCATTTCTGTGGGGTGCTGCTTTTTCACACCTTTGCTCAAATCCCCACAAAAGACAAAGGCATTGAAGTAGAATCTGAAAGCACTGGCCAGTGCTGGGACAGGCAGAATCACTCCTAGCTCTGCCAGCAAGGTCTTTGTGCCCTTGCTGCTCCCTACTTCAGTGGGTCTTGGCTGCCACAGCCCCAGCAGCCCCAACCCCACACCTGGAGATGAATCCAGACCCCTGTCCCACACTGGTGATGTTCATTGGTGCAGGCTGGATGATATGTGACAGCCCAGAGGATGAGCTGCCACCCTTCCACCTGCTTTTGCTGCTTCCCAGACTGGGGCTGAAGCAGCCTGCAGCCACCCCTGCTGCCAGAGCTGCTCTCCTGCTCAACGCTGGTGTGCTCAGGGCCAAAACTGAGAAAACCCTGAGTGAAAACAGCATAAAGGTGGAAGTCCAACCCCAACCACCTTGGCACAACATTCTGAACCAGGTGGGATTTCTGCTCCCGAAGAACACGCATTTAACTGAGGAGCACACATTCCTCAGCTAAAAGCTGAAGTCCAGTGTCAGTGGCTAACCCAGTACTGCAGGCAGCACAGTGAAGCTCCAGGCCATGGGCAGCACGGCCAGGCTGGCTGAGCTCCTCACCTTTGGTCTCCACTGCATTGATGCACTTCCGAACAAACTTGAAGCCCACCTCGTTCAGCTCCACTGTTTTGGAAAGGAAGCTGTGTTAGCTGCCTGAGCACTCCTGGAGACCCCTGGGACTCCCCAGCCCCACCTCCAACCCCAGCCCTGGCCTTTCTTGGCACCCAGAGCCACAGTGCCCCAGCACAGAGTGTCCACACCTGCACCCACATCCCCTGCCCCCTCAGGAAACACCGCTGCTCTGGACATCCTGACAAGGAGTTATTAGTTCCACATGTGCTCCCATTTTTCCTCAAATTTATTTTGAGTTGTAGCACTGCTCCCTACCCCCTCCCTGTCTTTAATAATAAGGTATTTAATAATAATAATAATAGTGTAAATGATCTGGCTTGTGTCTGATAAAGACTTAAATAATAATTTCCAGAGCAAAATCTATAGTTAAAGCTATTCCTCATCATGGGACTGTATAATTTCTGCTTATCTACATCACTAGGATTAAAAACCAAAACCAAACCAGCTTGATGTGCTGAGGAAAGCTGAGCACAGGGCTTGCTCCACTGAGCTGAGGAATCCTATGGGATCCCTGCATTTTCAGCAGGTTGTTTATACTGATTCTGTCTGCTCTCAGCAACAGCAACATCAAGCTCAGACATCTCTTAGCTCTGCCCCAGGAATAAGCACAGACCCACCTGGTGCTTGATACTGAGGGCTATGATACCACTGGAATTCTTACCAGCTTTAATCTATGACAAATAGAGAATGTTTGTTCAATGAAACCCTAATTCACATTCCTCCCAGCGTGTGATGTGAACACGGCCACAGAGCAGGTTTGTGCTCATGCTTCTGGGAATGCTCCCCCCGTGCTCCTTAGAGCCAGCTAGTTACAGTGCTGATGAAGTGAGCCCTGGGACAGAATGCAGGTTCCACCCAGCTAACAGAGCCCCAGAGGGGTTCCAGGGCTCTGCAGTGTGTCTCAGTGTTCCAGGGCTCTGCAGGGTACACCCCACTGCTGAGCCAGGGGACACGGGACATGGTGGTGGGTGGGAGATCCAGGGAACTCAATGCCACCTTTATTGCCCTGTTACAACCTTTGTTAAGGGACACATCCTCAGAATCTTTGGGTTTGGAGGTGCAAACTGAACCTCACATCCCACTACTCCTGGCTAAATAAAAACTGCTCACTGCAGTTCTGTGCAACTCGTTCTTATCTGGCTCAGTGCCAGCCACTGTGGTGTAAGAACAGAAGTGACACTGCTGTCACAGAGTGGGGACAGTGCTACTCAGCAGGAATTGAGGATGAGTGTATCTGCAAGGAAAATCCTGCCTGGCCTCGAGGCTGTGAGAGCCCAAAGAACAGCAACAGAAGTGACTCACTTTCTTCCTGCTTCGTGATGGGACTGTGATAGATCTGAAAAAAAGGCAGGAATGGGGGAGGGAGAAGCAAAAATATCATCAGCATGATTTGGTATTTATTTCTAAAAGAAAATGCAGCATCCCATAAATCACCCTCAGATTATCCAGAGGCAATCACAGCTAAAAAGACAATGTCCCATAGAAATCTCATTTATAATTCGGCAAGAACCCATTATCTGCACAATCAAGGAGTTTCAGCTGCCTCCCTGTATTTCAGTGGGGCACCTATTGCTAGGGAAATTCTCTGTTCTGTAGGCAAACCACAGGGCTCTGAGCTTTGCTCACACTCAAGGAAGGGAACACCAGTAGGCACAGAAAGGAGGGAGAACACAGGTGCAGGGTGGGCAGTGACACTTTTCAGAAGGTGGCTAAGAGCAGGGACAGACCAAACATCATCTCCAGCTGGCAGTGAGGAGCAGGAGTGAAGCAGCCCTGGAAAGGCTGGGGTCTGGCACAGCAGGGAACATCCCGAGATTTAGGGGGGAAACCCCAAAATCCACAGCAGGAGCTGAGGGAACAGCAGGGAGCCCATGGTGACCGTGCAGCACTGATCCCGAGCAGCAGCCGCCGGCAGAGGACACTGCTGGGCAGCACATTCCAGCCGGGAACAGCTCCAGCAGCACTCACCGGCTCCTTCCCGTCCATGGCCTCCATCCACAGCCTTCGGTTGGCTTCTGAGAGTGCCTGCAGCGTGATGGTCCCGGACCTGTGCGGAATTCCCCCAGGGACAGGCGGGGAAAGGAAGAAAAGTTGTTTTTAATAGACAGCAAAGAGGGATTTCCTGCAGGCCCATGGGGTTTGGGGCCACCAGACACGAAGCCTCTCACCTTTCATTAGTTTCAATGTCAAAACAAAACCTTTTGTCTATGGAGTCAGTCTTTCTCCGTACACACGATTTCAGGGTCAGGTCCAAGGTGCCCTAGGAGAGAACATGAAAACCAAGGTGAGAGGACAGAAACATGGGAGATTTTGGGCTCCTCAGGCCCCTCAGCTGCAGCCCAGCACAGCACTGCCCATGCTGCCTGCCCTGGCATTCGATGGCATCAGTACCAGGAGCACAGGTGGTCCTCCCACCTTCATCCCAGGAGACACAAGAGGTTCTGAGTTCCAGGCTTGTTCTCAGCCAGAGAATGTTCTGGACTCAACAGCACTACCCCAACAGCAGCACTCTGCCCCTACAGCGCTGGAACACTGCTCCAACCAAGCCAGAGAGGCACTCTGTCCTGTCTCCGAGGTCAGGACCACGCTCACCCGTGCTCAGACATAGCTGAGTTCTGATTTTTACCAGGGCTGGTCATCAGCACCAATTACCCACACCAACAATGAACCAAATGGCTTTACACAAACACTGTGTGGCAGAGGGATGTACATTTCCTCACCCCAGACAGAGCAGACATGCTCTGGAGAGGTTCAGCTCTGGCCTCTGGGTGTTTGTGTCCCTGCGCTCCGCAGCAGAGTTAATTCATAATTTGATTGTGGGTTTGTGGCCAGCTGTGACCTGATGGTGCAGGCTACCAGGCTGCCAGTGTTTGGGAAAGGCATTAAGTTTTCCAAGCCCCTACCTGCAGTAATAGGCCTTACTAGAGATGCTCGTGGCGTAAATGACAACAAATTTCTCCATACAATAGTTTGGATATTTCTTTGCCCAGCTCTCTGCCAAGGGGTTGCAAAACATCTATTTTATTTTCCTGCTGCAGCGTGCAGAGCCCTGCCAAAAGCAGACCATGAGCTCACACGCTGGAGCACACCCGCCTGGCTGGGAAGGCCCTGGGGACCCGCTCCATGGCAGAGGAGGGCGGGGGACTCAGCTGGAGGCACTGGCTGTGCTCCATCCTCCCACCCCTCCCCTGTCACGCGGAGGGACTGAGGGAACTCCCAGACTTTGGTAAACCAAAGCATTTTGTGAAAGAAGTAATTACGTAAATTGCTGCCTTAGTGCAGTTTGGAGCTGTGCTGTTGCCCTCTCCTCTCCTCACACTGTCCCAAATCCAGTGCTGGGAGCAGAAATCAAACCACAAACGAGTGCTGTGGGCACCCAGTGCTGTGAGGAAATGCTGCATTTGGAAGCAGTAACTCCTGTAATAACTTGAGTCATTCAGGCACTTCAGTGGCTGCCACAGTTCTCGTGGCTTCCAGCCCCTGTGCATGGAAGGCTCAACATCAGCTGGTCCAGAGAAGCACAAGTTTCACCCTAGACTGAACTCATGGGCCAGCACTGTCTGCTCTCTCTCATGTCACACTACCCACGTCTGCTGCCAAACCCTGCAGGGCCTGGGCTCCCAGGGACACAGTGGAGTGAGACCTCTCCTCACAGGTGTGCTTCTTCCAGGTGACACCAAACTGCCCTGTGCAGGCAGGGAGGGGACAGAGCCCACCCCCCGTGGCACCTGCAGGGTCAGCTGTCACAGGAAGGGAGGCCATACATGGGTGGAAGGTGAGCCCAGTCGTCGGGCCAATGTTTGCAGACATCCAACTCACCTGCTTAGCTCCAGGCTTCTGGTCTGTGGGTGTCATCCGCAAGGTTTTTGCCTCTTTTTCATACTGGCAGTAATACTTCACCCAGGAGATGCCCAGTGCCCCTGCAGAACACAGGAGAGGCTGGACTCAGGGACAGGGCTGTAGCTGGGTGCAGCCAGCAAGGCATGGTCAGTGCTGCCCACATGTCCTCCCTTCTCTGGGGATGGACACTGACAGCCCTGGGGGACATCAGCCTTGTAGGTAATGGCAAGAGTCAGGAGGAGAGGAGGAGGAGGAAGAGAGAAAGGGGAGGAGATGAAGAGAGAGGCAGGAGGAGAGGAGGAGGAGAGAGGGAGAGGACAGGAGCACAGGGCAGCAGCTGCCTCCAACTCACAGCTGGTGAAAGGGCATTTGTGGGACTCTGACCACAAGCCAGGCTGGTTTGGCCAAGCCCAGCCAACACCTACACTGGCAGGATCCTACATGTCCTGAATGTTCGCAAACTCCACTATTTTTTCCTGTGAGTGAAAACTCAATAATTTGAGATATTCAGCAGCTTTAAAATACTCCAAAGTTCCTATTTCTGGATTCATTGTAACTTTTCTCTGTTTTCTTACCTGAACCCCTTTACAGGAAATAATTCAACTGGTATCTTTTCTCTAATTTGTTTTTAAGTTGCAGTTATCAGGAAGAACAACTTTTCATACTTGATTTATAGGGAAACATAAATAGAGGCAGAAAATAGCCACTGGCCTGCAGGAACATGCCACATTTAGGGTCTAAAATTACTGAGTGTTCTTTCTTTTAAAAGCAATATAAACAGACTCAGAGGTCACAGTTTTGCACAGCCTTATGTCCTCTGAGCATTCCTGCTGCACAGCCCTGGGGAGCTGCAGCCAGGTTTTGGAAAAGGCTGTATTTGGTTCTGCTCAGAATTACAAATTTTGCTCTCAGCAGCCTAACTCAGCACTGGTTCCACCTTGGCTGTGCTTAGCTGCTCGCAGAGGCTGCCAGAGGGAGGCTGGGCAAGACACCAGATTCATCCTGGTAAAACACAGCCAAGGCAGAGCCTGCCAGAGCTCCAGGCTCTGGAGTCGTAAATCCCATCTCATCGGAGCGAGGGCAATTAGCCCTGTGCTGTCACAGATCTGCCACTTGGGCAGAGCTCTGTGCCACTGCTGACAACGCTGCCAGCTGAGGCTGCTGCTGCTTCCCCAGGCACTGCCACCCCGGGCACCTCGGGCACTGGCAGAAGGTGACACCCTGGGCATGCTGTGCCCTGGCAGCGGTGACACCGAGTGCAGCAGGGCTGGCCTGGGCACAGCACGGAGTACAGCCCACAGCTGGGTCATGCCAGGGCAGCCCTGAGCCCTAGTGCGTCCAGCTGCATCCCAAAGCCATTACATTTCTCCTGAGTGTACAGGTAGCCCTCGATGGTTGGCTGCCCAGGCAGCTTGCAGGTTAGGGGCGCTTCCTTCATCCTCTTCTTCAGATCTTCCAGCTCCTCCCGTGTGCTGGAAAAGTGATTCCTCGTCTGGTAACAGAAAACAAAAAGAAGCATATTTGAACATGAGCAAAAAGTGAGCGGCAGGTTATTTATTCCTAGACAAAATTGGAAAAGTGATACCTTGTCTGGTAACAGAAAACAAAAAGAAGCATATTTGAACATGAGCAAAAAGTGAGCTGCAGGTTATTTATTCCTAGACAAATGTGAGGCGCTGTAGCAGAAAGGAATCGGCTCCCAAGCTACAAAACATGGAAAACACTCTACAAATCCACATGGAAACTGGCTATAAGAACCACTGAGCTCTACGGGATGATTGAAGACACACATCCTGTGCAGAGATGGTGCTGGAGTGCCACAGCTGGGAGGCCACTTGTTCCCTTAATTAAGGAACTTCAGCACATTTCAAGGCTGGCTGGAGCAGAGGCAGCACCTGAGCTCCCGTTCACACTGTTGCTTGGGTAACAGGCACATTCTCCTCCCAAAGGTGTCGATTCCCAAAGGATCATGCTACAGTGCTTAGCATGAAAAAAATCACATCAATAGAGGGTACAAAATCTAAGCATTTTGATGGAATACTACTTGGACCAATTAATGAGCCAGCAGCAAAACCATCTTGGCTCAGATTTATGGCTGTCGTTCCACAGAAACGGAGGGCAGTCAGGAAAGACTGAGGATAAAGGAAACAGGACTCAGATATTCTACCCCATGTGCACACTTGGCCAACAGAGGAGCTTACTAAAGCACGTAGCAAGCCTGCAGGAAGCCAGTACCATTAAGAACAAGGTTAGAGGCCTTCTTAGAGTACAATTTAAATCTTGTGAAACTGAAATAAAATCTCAGGCTTGTTTATGCACCAGGTTGAATTATGCAACTGTAACAGCCCCTTCCAGAGAAAACAATTTCATAGACCTGTAAACTGTCCCATGCAGGAGAGGGGAAAACCCATGTGAACTGAGAAGGAAATAACTGTATCTGCAACAGTGCAAACATGGCCAGACTGCTTGGGTGGAAAGACTTTGCCATCAGAGGTGTGTAAATACAAATGAGAACAGAAATCACGCAAAAAAGTCCTTCAGCTGGGCAGGGACTCACGTTCTGCAAGCTGAGCTGGAGCTGCTGCTTGTATGGGAGGAAATCCTGTGTCAGCTCCACTGTCAGGTTGTTGTAAGTGAAGAGGCTGTGGAGAAATGCCAGCACCTGCAATGGAGGGAAGGGACACACTGAACTTCTGTGTTTAGAATGGAAGGAAAGATGGACAGAGTATGGGGTTTCAGAAATTATATATGCAATTATTTTTTCCTCACAACTTTGGCATGCCAGCCTTGGTATGGCTTATCCACCACAGTGTCCCTAACCCCCAGCTACCACCCACACATCTGTCTGAATGAAACACCCAGAATGAAAGACCCTGCGGGGAGACCCAGCGCAGATCTGCAGAGACCATCCACAAGATCCACAGGATCCCACACTCCACTGCAGCTGGCACTGGGGCACAGCCACCACCCAGGGCAGGGTCTCTGCACTCAGCCACAGTCTGGGACCCTGCAGGCCAGGCTGGGACGGGTGAGCAGGGCAGGTAACACCTCTATCCACTCACCAAACCCAGCGGGGGCAAGATAAGCCATAACAAGACCTGTAGCTCTGTACAGAGTCCAACCTGTTCCTCGGGCCTCAGACAGGGCTTGGGGCTTCACAGTGCTCCTCCCCACACAGGACCTAATCCAACTTGGCAAATCATCCCTTCCTGCCACTGCCAGCACATCTGAGCATCAGCCTATGAGACAGAGAAAAGGAAGCTCCTACCGGCTCCACAATACTGAATTTCTTGCTTTCCTGTACTTCCTGGATCTGGTACACATACTCGAGGGAGGACTCAAAGAAATTGTGTCTCTCTTTGTCCACCTGAAGGTCAGCCTAGAAGAAAGAGGGAAAAGTGGAAAAAGAAAATACATCACATGTAGTTTGAAAATATTTGACTCACTTTTGTCTGTCAGCCCACACATAGTTCTGTCCTCACTGAAAACCTGCCTGGTGTCCAGCCCAGCTGTGAGCTGGAACACTGGATATTCTTTTAAGTCTCCCCATTTCTGGATCCACTTCATTCAAGGATCCAAAACCTCTTCTCACTCTGTAAGGAACAGGCTTTCCCAAAGCTCATTTATTACTTTAACATGTATTAAGTATGTATTAAGTATGCTGTATTAGTGCCACTGGTCACTGTCCTTCACCATCAAGGTGACAACAAGCAATGACAATGTCTGAAGCCACTAGCAGCATCCAACAGACACAGGAGAACTATGAGCTTGATCTCCCTGGTCTCACAGAGTCCAGGCTTCGGGTAGATTTAACTGATTATCAGTTTCAACTGGTTACTGGAAGGGATGATTCCTCTCCCCGTTTTTAAGACCTAGAACAGCTGGTGCTGTTGCTTCTGGACCTAACTGAGAAAAATTCCATACACACCTCCTGTAACTGAGATTCCTTCTTTTTGGAAGACAAATGCAAGTGGCGATCCAGCATGGAGTAAAACTTCTCACCATCCTTCTCAAACTTTTTCTTTCTTTCCTGTAGATGCAAGAGGTTGAAGCAGAACCAATTATTGGCAATTTCCAGATAAGAACATGCATCAATAACAAGATTCTTTGTGCAATTCAGTATTCCCATGGACAAATTTTGGTAAATCCAGAGAACAGAAGGCCACTTCTCACTTGCTCTGCTTTCACAGCCCCTTGCCTGCCTTGGATGAATTACACCTCAAGACCCAGTCCAGCAATACTCTGTGGCACAAGAAGTATTCTTTCACACCAACATCATGGCAAAAGCCCCACCCATGAGGTGCTGCTCCCTCTCTCAGTCTCTTCAATATCCAGTAAACTGAAGATGTGCTCATACATCAAAAACCTGTTCACCATCACCTGCCATGCTGTTCACACAGCCCAGAAACAACTGGGCAAACACTGCAATGTCACAGACACGTCAAAGTCAAGAAAAGCTTCTTTAGATTTTGGCAACTTTCTGTTCTAAAGAGTTTATAATTTCTTTATGAAGAGTACCAGAAGGAAAGCAGAAGCCTGGCAGGTCGACAGGCAGGCAGGAAATTCTCATCTGCCCATCAGCAGTGGTGCAAAGAGAGCATGAATGAACAAGAGCTGCAAAAAGAGACACTCAAGAAGGAACTCCCAAGAGCAGGCAGGGAGCAGCAGAAGTGAGCACCAGGCTGTTGGTTCCTGCCTTGCACTGACTGCGACATTGGCAATCACAAAACAACCACAGTAAGGGGCCAGGTTGACAAATACCCACTTCAGATGGTATCTGACATATCAGGGATTCCTGGGAGGCAACTAAATTACTGAAATCAGGAAATTCCAGCCTGGCAGCAGCCTCAGTGCCAGGTCCAAGCAATTGAGAGCTGGTGTACACACAGTGCAAGTATGTATAGGATACCCAGATCTTCTGTCTGGCTCTTGAAAGGTCAAGAAAGTGGAAAACAGTTCCAGCTTCCTGGGAAATTACTGGCATCTTTCAACATCTATCTCCTGAAAGCCCTGAAATCCTGTTCTCTTGCCCCCACTCAGAAATGCATGGATAAACAAGCATACACCAGTGCCACCACAAGCCAGAGCAGATGGACTCTGCTAGACTGCTGGGTATTAGGAACTTTCCTCATGAATTCAGCAGTGACCACAGCTTCCCCTGGCTGAAGTTTTGCTTCCCTGTTCCAGTTGCACAGACTATTCCATCTGTCTGTCAGGATGCCCTGCAGCAGGATGCCTGGGGGCTCCCCAAACCCCTGGGCTCAGCACAGGTGGCTCCCAATAATAGTAGCAAGCCTTCCTACCAGCTGCCTTCCAGGGAAGAGGATTCTCTCCCCACAAGAGTCCTGACATGGCTGTAGTGAAAGCACAATTACCATGAGGAAGTGGCACCAACCTGACTGCCCCTGCTTATGTGTAAGTGTTGGAGCAGCCCAGCAAACCTTTTCACCTCAGCAATTGCATATCCTGCTGTGCAGACCCTGGAATTACAGGACACATGAAGGGAAGTGCATCCTCTGGAATCACCCCCTGCAATATCAGGTACTGTGACTCCGTGTTAGCAGCCTCACACATCAGGACAGAGAGATCTACACCAAATTCAGAGGAAGAGAGACTCCTCCAAGGGTGAATCCTAATTTAAGCAGTGCAGCAACTGCGGGGCTGAGGCCAGGAAGGACGATCAAAACAAACCACCACCCTCGTGACTAAGGCGCTGATCAGCAAACCCAAACCCAGTGCAGTGAAAGCGTTTGTGGAGCAGCAGTTCCTGTGGCTGTAAGGTCAAACTCCTGGGCTGTCTGTGCCATTAGTGCCCTTCTAACGAAGCCAGGAACTTGCCTAATTTCCATTTCCTCAATGAGGAGCCTCCAAGCCCCAAGGACACAGAAGTGCAGGGAAGCAGAGCTGTGGGCCTGCAGGCACAGAGCTCCTGTGGCCACCTCCTCACATCTCAGAGGAGATGGTTGTGCCAGCAGCAGGTCCTGAGATAGAAAAGCAGGTGCTGCCATGGAAAGCTAGCTCCAAACCCAACCAAGAGCTCCACTGTCTCCACCAAGGTGGTGTGCAGAGGTGGTGGTGGCAGCACAGGGATGGTGCCATCCCTGTTCCTCAGCAGAGCTGTGGGTGAGCAGCAGGAATGGGGCTGAAGCCCACTCCAGGAGTTCTCCCCCGCCTCTCACCACCAGCAAGCAGCACTTGTAGGTGACTCAGCTGTCCCCACCCGTGGAGAAGCCACCAGGGAAGACAGCCACACTGCAGGCCAGAGCTGGGACCAGCCTCTCCTGCTCTGCAGCTGGGGGGCTGCTCACCTGCACCAGGAGCTGGGGGAAAGCCCAGGGCAAGGAAGAGCTGCCCACCAGAGCCTGGTGCTCCCATGGCCGGACATGGCAGAGCCCACGGGGAGGGAGCAGGACAGGATGGACAGGGGGATCTGCCTCTGGAAGCAGCAGCCTGGGAGCACGTGGCTCCCAGCTTGTCCCCAGGAGAGGGGACATTGCTGTGGGAGGCTGTGGTGCCCGTGCACGTGGCCACAAGAACAAGAACCCGTGGAGGAGGCCATGAGCTGTGTGTGGCTGTGGTGCCCACACAAATGGCCACAGGAGGCCACAGCCTGCAGCCACAGGGAGACCACAAGCCACCAGGCAGCAGCTTTGTCACCAGCTTGTGGGAAGATGGTGGGTTCTGAGGAAGAGGGGTCACCTCTGCTCAAGGAAAGACTGGTGAAGAGAAAGGAAGAGCCTGGGAGAGCAGTGGAGCTCCTTCTGCAGCAGGAGCTGGGAAGCCAGACAGTAACTCCTTTGAGGAGTGCCCCCTTCTCTGCCAGCACCCCAGGCAGGCAGGGCACATGGCTGCACAGGGGGCAGGGAGCACTGAGCTCTTTCTGGGGACTGAAGGGACTGGGAATGATGTCCAAGAGGGACCCACGTGTGACAGGACTGCAGTGCAGTGTGGCATTTTGGGCCACTAAGAGGGAGCTTGCCAATCATTCCCACTCTGGCTAATCAGCATATAACTGAACGGCAGAAGGATGACCTACAAATCCTTCTGAGTTGGCTGCTGACCACAGCAAGCCAAGGAAAAAAAAAAAAAAAAAAAAAAAACCAACACAAAAAAAATCACCCAGACTGAAGCACAATCTGGAAACATGAGCATGAATTAGCTCCTCATGAATATTCAGCAAAGGGCAGCATGACATTTCCATTAAGGTTTGCCAAGTCCAAGAGCCACCACCCACTTTCCACTTATTGCTGACTGGGAGCAGCCGAGCAGATCCCACCGGGTGCGGGCAGGAGGGTGCTCTGCAAACACCCCGTGCTGGAGCTCTGGCAGGCACTGCTGTGCCCAGGAATGCAGCAGCCCGTGGGACAGCACTGCCTGCTGCAGCAGGGGATGCAGCAGCAGCTCTGGCTGCTCTGTGTGTGCCAGGTCCTGCCCACTCCCCGACTGCCACCAGCACTGGGACGACACTGGAGCCCCTCATCAGCTTTGGGTCCAGCTCATCGGGGGGAAAAGGGCAAACAGACTTGCCAAAACTCTCCCTTAACCATTAGCTGCTAACTAGGATCCTCTAAAATTCCCATTTTCGGGGAGGTGGAGTGAGTGACAAGTGAGAAGCTCAGCTCACGGGCCACTTCTCCTCTCCATAAGGAATTAAACACACTTTTCCTGCTGGGAGCCCCCACCTCCATGCACACTTGAGGGCTCTGGGTGCAAGAGCAGTGGATGCAGGATCATCATAGCTCGTTTTTATGAGGCATCAGCAGTTAATTCGAAAACAGATTTCTAAAATGTCAAGGGGTGTAGAAAAAGCAGTTCTATTAAAGCACATTCAGTTCATCCTGGTGTTTTTCTCTCGCCCACTGCTTTCTCTCAAAAGATCCTCAGGCCCTGCTCCCCCAGAGATGAAAGCAAGTAGAAGTTATTAACCTCCCTTTCTCTTAAAATTATAATTAATGAAATTAATAACAGAATTAACTAAGAACATTTAGGAATATGTTATTTCCTATGGAAAAAATTTTTACAAACACTGCAGCTATTCAGCATTCCTCTTGCCCTTACACTACACCCCAACAAGCTTTTCCCTCTGATTTTTTTGGTTGGCTTTGTGTTTTTTTTAAAAAAAGCTGTCTCCTTCCAAGTGAAACTGGAATTAAACTTTTCTATTCAAATCCTGCTCAGCTCAGTAAGTGTGGCCAGCTTCTTCCCAAAGGGTCCCAGCCCCACAGCGTGGGGAGGGAGGGATGAGGCCTCCATATGAGGCAGCTCCTTCCCACACTCACCCGCTGCCATGAATGCTAGAGCTGGGAAATGGGTCAGCTCAGGGGGTCCCAGATCCTCCCTTTATCTGTGATAACAGCGGCGAGTCACTCACCCTGACAGCAAGTCACAGGAAGGGCAGTGACCCCACAGCGAGGGGGTGGCTGGAGGGGTCCCGGTGACAGCCAGGGCTGCCCGGGTGGCAGCACACCCTCCCCAGGAGACTCCATTCCCCCCGGGAGAAGGGCTGAATGCAGACTCAGATGTGCTGGTCAGACTGGCTGTGCTCCAGCCAGAGGCATCACAAAGCCCCAATTCAAGGGCTCTTCCTATTTGGCTGCAGCAGCTCGCAGAGGGAACAGAAAACATCTCACAGAAGGCGACGCTGCCAAAATACGGAAACCAAGCAGAGGGCACAAATTCCCTGTGTCATGTCCCCAGGCTGCTCCCCAGCCTGGCCTCTGCCCTGCTCAGACCAGAAAGGGTCCATGGGGCACGATGGGAGGAACCCACACTGACAGAGCACTGCTGTGAGGAGCCCCATCTGTACTTCACACCTCCTGCTGCCGGCTGGGGATGCCCCAGAGATGCTCTGGAAGCTGGCAGGTGAAGGGAGGAAGGCTCTGTGCCCGAGGTGACACCTGAGGGTGCAGCCCACCAGTAGTGTGGCATAGGCTCCTGTCAGGGAAGCATCTGAGCTGAGGACAAGGGGCTGGAGTGGCTGGGGCTCACTCCCAAACTCACACCCTCTCAAGGCTTTGGGGTGGCACTGGGGACAGTGGTACCTCCCTGTGCAGCTCTGTCACTGTGGGGTGGCACTGGGGACAGTGGTACCTCCCTGTGCAGCCCTGTCACTGTGGGGTGGCACTGGGGACAGTGGTACCTCCCTGTGCAGCCCTGTCACTGTGGGGTGGCACTGGGGACAGTGGTACCTCCCTGTGCAGCCCTGTCACTGTGGGGTGGCACTGGGGACAGTGGTCCCTCTGTGTGCAACCCTGTCAGCGTGAGCACACCTGGCACGGTGCAAGGTGCTGCCCTGTGAGCTCCTGCATGGAGCACTTGTGCTGAGCCACAGCACAGCTCTCTTCCCACCACAGTGCCCTGGCACCTCTGCAGCTCATGCTTCTCATGAGAAACAAAATCCCAAACAAACTACAATGGCTGAGCCACCTGCAACAACCCCCTGCCAGCTCTCCAGCTGCTCTGAGCTGTGTCCTGCCAGTGTCACCACCCTGGAGCGCCCTGCCCATCCACAGGGACCGAGGAAGGGCTGCAGGCTGCCAGGTGAATCCATGCCAGTGCTGGGGCTGTGGCACCAGCCCTGCTGAGACCCGTGCCTGCCCGTCAGGGAAGGGAGCAGGGCACGGGCACACGGCCTGTGGGTGCAGGCAGCTCAGCTCTGGGGGCACAGCACGCTCTGGGCTGTGGGCAAAGTGGCCCTTACACACCTTAAGGGCTCTCTGGGACTAAAACAGCCTGAAGGGCTGACAGCAGGGCTGTGGGCAGCACCTGTGCCATGCTCGTGGCTGCAGCTCCTCAGAGGGTTCCACACACCAGCCCTCAGGGCATGGCAAAGGGCAGGAGGGCCATCGAGTATCTCTTCCTAAACCCTGTATTTATTAAACGTCAAAGCCTCCAGATGGGCTGGGCTGAATCCAAGCCTCAAGTGTTCTCCAAAACATCTCCATTTCAGAGCTGGGTCAGTGCCAGCCCCATTTTAAGCTGCTGCTGAGTAACATGGAACCTGGACTTCTTGATAGCAGACAAGGGAAAAATGATCTTTTGTGCTCCACATGTGCAGAATTTGCTTTTTATAGCTTGTTTCTTTAAAAGTTTGGTCCATCTGAAAGACTCATTAGACGCTTTATGTAAATATTTCATAACAAAAGCCCTATGACTATAATCAGGTTCTGCCTGCTGGCCTCTCCTGCTTTCCCTCCTTCCCTTCCTCCCTCCCACTCCACCACACACTTCTCTGCAGAAAGTGTTTTATTCTCTGAACAAAGGGGAGAGGAGATAAAGCAGCAAGGAGGATCTCCTGGTTGGAACAAGCACTCCTTGCTCAGAGCAGTGGCAGTGCTGAAATCAGGCCAGGAGAGAACCCAAAGAATTCAGGAAAAGACTTTGGAGACTCTTAAGATTGAAAAATCAGACTAAAAGTCACAGCACGAACCCTCATGCCAGCAGCTGAAAGCCAGCATTGAACAGGGAGTTTCTGAGTGCCTGAAGTCAGAATGCAGTAGAGCAACTGTCAGCTTGTTAAAAACAACAGGAGAAAAATCTGAATTCAAGCACACTATCAGAAAACAAATCTGTTTACACTGAAAACAAACAAAGAAGCCTTACCTTGGTGAACCCTATCTGCTCCTTCCGGAAGTTTTCCAAAGGTTTGATCAGCAAATCACTCGCATTCTGCACCTACAGTGCAAAGAAAAAGCATTTGAATTGCAGGATGCTGATCAATTTTCTCTTAAACAGAGGCTGAACAGGGCTAGAAGCCAAGAACTTGCGATTTTAATGGTTTTGACTGGAAACTTCTCTGTCTGTAGGTGAATTCACTTAAACCATTTGTACCTGCTCTTCCCCATGGGTAACACACAATAAACCCCAACCACACCCCAGGAGGCTTTGGGGACATCCTGTGGGTGACAGGGAGTCCCCCCATCCCCATCTAACAAGGCTGCTCTCAAATAAAGGACGGACTTCTCCTGTCTCGAGGTTCAGCCAGAAGGTAATCTCTGACAGGAACAGCTAGGGAAAAGGGAAAGCCTGCCTGGGTCTCTTCCACTCCTTCTCATGTCTGAGAGATGCTTTCCTGGATGGTGCTCTGCACACCTTTACCATGAATCCACAGGAAAGCTCATCCCAGTTTGTATCAGCAGCTCCAGCCCTGGGACCAACCTGCTGCCTCCTCCCATCCCCACTTCCCTGACAGGCTCTGCCCCACGCCCCAGAGAAGGGAGAGGGGAAGAGAAGGGGACAGGACACCACACAGCACAGCCCCTCAGGGAATTCAGGGCTGATGAACACGGTGAGTGTGAAACCTCCTGAGGAAGCTGCTGTAAAACAGAACTGGTCCTACAAGTAGAGGGCAAAACACCCCAACTTTGAAAACTGGACAGTGCCCATAACTCCTAAAACAACACCTTCCACTGCCAAAGGAGCTACCATACCTGGGATGTAATTCATAATAAAGAAGTATCTCAGTGCTTTCCTGGTTTCCTGCTGTTCCCTGCCTGCCCATGGACCCTCTGGCCCAGCCTGGCAGGAGCTCCTGCTGCTGCACGAGGCAGGGGAAGGCAGAGCCAAGCAGCACATTCCTGGCACGCTGTAAGCTCTCCACTGAGCCTAACCTTCATGTTTTTCCTGGAATTAGGAGTGAAATGGAAAGCCAGCACTGGCTCTGGAGGAGCCCTGGAGAGCTGAGGGCACATGGCAGCAGGAAGCTGATGGCAGTGCATTGTGCTGCAGGAGCTGGAGCAGCACAGATGGGCTCAGGGACACCTGCCTTCCTGCCCCCAGCAAAAACTGAGTGAAAACACTTCTTATTCTTTAACCCGTGGTTTCACCACAGAAGCAGCTGGTGAGCAGCCCCTCCAGCTGCAGGGCTTGGGGCTCTGTGCCTGGGAGAGTCACAGCCCCCCACACCTAGTGCTGAGCCTGCCCCATGCTCAGGGCCCACGGCCATGGGACCATGAAGCAGATGAGTGCAGAGCACATTCCTGGTGCTCCCAGCTTCCCTCTGCTGAGAAGCCTCACACTGAGGCACATGGTGTTGTGGCTGTGATTTGGCATTTGGCCATGTCAGGAATGACAGAGCCCAGTTCCCTTCTCCTTACCATCATGGACCTCTCCAGCTCCACTTCTTGCAGCAGCTCTGCAAACTCCTTGAAGGACTCGGCTGTAAGAAAAGAAGAGGCTGGTCAGTGGAGCTGGGATGTGGCACTGGAGCGTGTGACACATGGCAGGACACCCCAATGAGGCTGCACCCCCAGCATGGCTGTCTAAAGGCTGGCAAAAAAACCAATAAGAGGTGGCTCCTTTGGCAGAAACTGCGTGAGGCAATGCCAGGTGCAGGCTGGCCTTAAGGGATATTTATTTATGCAAGGGAGAGGAGGATCTCCTACCCAGGCAATGAAGGAGTGAAGGCCCTGGGAAAGTAAGCGGATGTTAATTAGCTTTTATCAGGAATTGTGTTACAGAGATGGCAATACAGGTGGCAGAGAAGGGGCAAATGCAGGGACAGGCCAGAGAGGGGGAACAGGAGCTGCCATCCCCAGGCCCTGCCACTTTGGGCAGGACAGAGGTGCCTGGACTGCCTGGACAGCTGCCAGCAGCACCAGCATGGGCCTGGCACCTCTGTCCCAGGAAAAGCTGCAGGTGTTTGCCAGGACCAGGACAAGTGTGTCAAATGAAAATGACCTGGAATGACAAAGATCACATGCAGCACCAGGAGGCACAAAGTCCAGTGCAGGAGGAAAGGCAGCAGGTGTAGACATGGTCACAGACACTGACACCACTCCCCAAAATAGAGATTTCATTGATAAGCAGTTGGAGTCCAGCTACAACAAAAATAGCACGACACCTTTCCTTTAACAAACTGAACTAAGAATAATTTAGCCTGGGGAAATAAAAGACTAGGTGGGAGCAGCTGACCCCACACCAAGGGGGAACATACAGCCCCTCTCCCTGCCCATCGAAGGAGAACTTGGGAAGGGGCTGAGTTTGTCCCAGGGGAGGAAACCTCTCAGCAGCAGAGCACTGACAGTGCCAAGCCAAACTCCCATCCCTCTGGGCTGCAAGGCAAGGCTGGGCAAACACCTTCCCATGCAGGTAGCGTGGCTGCGTGCTGGATGCCTGGGGGAACAACCTGATCACCCCAGTGTGCCTGGGAACTACCTGGGAGTTACCTGGGAAAGCTTCCCACAGATCCAGCCTGCTCAGCACAGCATGGGACAGGTCTGGTGGGTCTCAGGCTCCCTCCTGCCCTGGTGGAACATCCCAGAGTGGCTCTGTCAGACCCCAGAGCTCTGCAGTTCAGACTGCTGGGCTGGACAGAGCAGGGCTGCACACGAGGGGGCACAGCAGGTGTACAGCAGTGCAGGCACAGGATTAGCTTGACCCACAGGTCAGAGACAGGGAGTTCTTGTGCTCCCTGTGCAAGCAGAGAGCCCTCTCCCCTCATACACAGCAGTACCTTGGGAGAGGTACCTGTCCCAAAATCCAGTGTAAGGATTCATTCTGCAGCTGCTGAGACACACAGAAGGGAACAACTGCAGCCTTGTGACATGGGCCCTCAGCTGGCAGTGGCACAACAGACCTTCCTGCTGAGTCAGGAGCTTCTGAGCTCTCCTCCAGTGAGGGCTCCAGCACCCAGCAATGCAATGGCCCTACTGCTCATGGTGCTCACACCCAGAGCCATCCGTGGCTGTCACTGTGGCTCCCCAGGATGATGGAGTGCATGGACACCAGAAGCCTGAGCCAGGAAAAGAATTATCACAGGGAGAAAGAATCCAGTCCCAAACTTACAGGGAATATGGCAGTGCATAAAATGTTCCCTAGTTTTTTCCCTTTGCTCTACAGGAAAAGCCCAGGAACATGTTTCCTGGCTCCAGTCACAGAACAGCCCACTGAATTTGACCCTGCACCACACACAAGGCTCACATCCTGCTGCCAGCCCAGCAGTGCCTGGGGATCTTGGATTTGTGCTACTGGCCTGGGTCAGAGTTTGCCAGCCCATGCAGGGCAGTGTGGAGCAGGGAGGCCACCAGCAGCCACAGCCTGCCCAGCCACACCTGGGAACTGACACCTGGAAATGCCAGAAGCATTCCAGGAAGGTCCTTACAGCCAGAGGATTCCAGGTTCCCATGTTTGGGAGGGAAGAACATGCCACCCCATTTCACTGCCCCCTTCATCTCTGTGGGAGCTGCTGATTTGGGTCCCATGAGGTGACAGTGGAGGAGCTGCAGGAGGGAGCACAGGAGGGGCTGCAGCTGTGGGGTAACACGGGTGCATCCATGACCTTTCACCTCCCCAGGGGAAAGTGCTGCTCAGGACAGACAACATCCACCCAGTGTCCTGACTGCCACCTGCAGTGTCCCCGCTGCCACCCGCTCGGGTGCCAGGCTGCTCTGTGCCCACACAACGAGAGAGCAGTGTGACTTAAGCTCTATTTACAACCCAAACACGTTCTCTTGCAGCGCATAAGAAGTGCCTGTAAGTGTTCTGCCTCACTCCCATATCCTGCACATCAAATGAGCTCTGCACTCCCACGCAGATCCCTGGCACCCTGGCAGATGGAAGCTGCTACGGAGACGTCAACGCCCCACTGCTGGGTCAGGAATAAGGAAGCCTCAACCCCTTCAGGCACACCAGGGCCTGGGTGGGAGGAGGAACACAGCCCAGGCTTCTTCACAGGGAAGCTGGGGACCTCTTCTTGAAAAAGCAAAACAAATACTCCCCAGCAAAACTGAAGGGAAACACACTCCTTTCCCCACGATGGGTTTTACATCTGCTCTCTTGCTCTCCCTCATCCCACACTCCCTTTATTCAACCTCTGTCACTCCCAGCAGCCTTTCTTGGTTGTTGGAGCTTTGTTTCTTCCAGCCAAGAGGAGGGACACTCCTTTCCCTGCATGGCTGTTTGCCTCAGACTCCTCAGCTCCCAGGAGGGGCATTTACATGGCAGAGTTCTCCCCTCCCTGACCCACATGTGTTTGGAAGCTCAGCACCTCTGCTGCCATTAGATTTGGAGGCTGACTCATTTCAGCGGGTTTCACCCAGAGACTTTCCATAAAAGAAGCAAGCTTTGGAGGGGCAGCCTGCAGTCTGCTTCACGTGGCTTTAAATACAACAGCCCAAGGAATAGGCTCTACTTCCTTCCCCTTCTGACAGTGGCTGAGACCTGACACCAGCAATGTCACACTGCTGCCACTCTCCAACCGCTGCCTGACAAAAGCTGGTTTTCTTTTTTTCCCCTATGTGCAGCCCTCGGGAACAGCCTGGAAAAGATGCCATGCCTTGTGTCCCAGCCCATGAATGCCCTGTGCTCCTGCCTGGAGCATGCCCTGTGAGCCTATGGGCAGCCCCAGCTCCTCAGCCCAGGCAGGTGGCCCAGGTGTTTTGTCTGATGGGGCAGGGTCAGAACCTCGGGGGCTGAGGATGTACTGTTGTCCCTCCTGCAGCCCCCTGTCACCCCCACAGGGTCCACTCACATTGCTAAGCCAAGAGCAGATTTGTGTGAAACGTGCAGGGTTTGGGGAATTAAGCCCCCCTGGGCTGTGGATGCTGAGTGACTCCCAGAGCTGTGCTGGGGGAGGGCAGGGATGTAACACAGCTCCAGAATCACTAATCCCCAAGCAGATGTGCAGGGAGCAGCCCTGCAAGGCTGCCCAGGGCACAGATGGCCATTGTTTTCCATTTGAGACATATCCAGCAACACTTTTTCCCAGCAGTTTGCAGCCTGTGCCTTTGCAGGACAGCGTGGGGCAGTTTGTTCCTGCAAGGCCTTTCACAGAATCACAGAATCACAGAATCACAGAATAATGAGGTTGGAAGAGACCTCTAAGATCATCAAGTCCAACCTATGCCCTAACACCTCAACTAGACTATAGCACCAAGTGCCATGCCCAGTCTTTTCTTAAACACATCCAGAGATGGTGATTCTACCACCTCCCTGGGAAGACAATTCCAGTACTTTATTATTCTTTTGGTGAAATGTTTTTCCTAGTATCCAACCTTTCCAGCACAGCGAAGGCAGCTCTGGGAGCAGCACCCAGAGCTGGGCTCCACTGCAGCTCTGGGAAGAGGGGCTGGCTGGGAGGTCAGCACCACGCCGCCTCCTCCCCAGCACCTGGCAGCATGGAGCAGGCCCGGAGCCATGGAAAACCTCTGCAAATTATCCGCTGAATTGGGAATGTGAAACTTGACCCGTGACTGTTCAACTTCATAAAATAAGCTGTGGAAGAGCTGCCTGGAACCCGGCTCCTGAGGCTGCTTAAAAACCATCAGGCAGGCTAATTCCTAGAGAGGGAGACTGTTCCAATTACTGGAAGTGAAGTCAGCTTCAAAAAGCAGAGAACTCACCAATATTGATCTCATCATCCGTTAGTGTGTCACCAATGAAGTCGAACTGGAAGGACTGCAGAGTCTGGGAGAACTTCTGCACTGCTGAGGAATAACCTGGAAAAGGACAGGGCAATCAGTTGTGGGTTTCTGCAATTCTTCTACAGAGGCTGCATGTCCTAGGAATTTATTCTGAATGGAAAAAGACCATAGTAATGTAGTTACGAAAATCCATAGGCATTGGGAATTTCAGCGCTGCAGAAAATGCTGTAGCATTAATAACCCTCAGAGGCTGCAGAGAGCACTGGATTTGGGTTTTTTCTCTCTCTGAAAAAGCTTCTACAGCACTAATGGATGCACCACACGGTACAACAACTGATCGATGGCCTTGTGTCCAGCCACAGACAGGAAGGGACACTGACACACTTCCCTGCAGGAAAACATTCAGGAGATACTCCAGGGCTCTGTGTGCACCATCACAGCTCCTTGGAGCTCAGGGGCTGTCGGACAGGCTGGCCACTGTTCACAGGAATTGTTTCATAATACGGGAGAAAAATCTGTAGAGTCAGAAAATAAATGTGAGGGAAAAGGCAGGACTAAAAATAACTGTCCCTGTGTGGGGTCACGGGCACAGACAGGCCCTGAGGGAAGGACAGTGCCACAGAGCACACAGCTGAGCCAGGGGCTCAGCTGGGCTTGCCTGGGCACCCACAGATGGCCCTGGGACCTGCTGCTCCCGCTGGTGGGGAACAGTCTGGGCTGGAAGCAAAGAAATTGCCTGATGTTTCCTGTGGCTCAGTCCAAATTATTTTTGGACCTTCCAGAGTCGTTTCTGGCCCAAAGGATGCTTTGTGTCCTTGCACCCTGTGTGGCTGCAGGACGTGTCTGGATGGCGTCTGCTGGCATTGGCAGAGGGGCCCTGGGACGTGACAGTGACACCACTGCAGAGCCTGATCCAGGGCCAGCACACTCACTGGATTGACCTGCACAAAACTACAACAGTTCCTGAGATACAAACAGAGGGAGGCTGCACTTGCCTGACCTCAGAGAGTAGGATGTAGGCAACAAAAAGAAAAGCAAAGGAATGTTAGACTCTGATTTCCATTGCTACTTTCCCCAATTTGGGACTCCAGCTATGGGCTGTCCCAGGCTGGACTCCTTTGTGGTGGTGCAGAGATGGCACTTTCAGAAATGAATGAGTGGGGAAGATGTGATGGCACAGACCCTATGGGCAACCAGCTCCCACCACTGCTTAGCCAAACCAGCACCATGATTGTTGTATACAGGAACTTGGTGTACATGGCTGGGCTTTTTTGATTTGAAAATAAAACTTACTACTGTGGTGGCAATCATGGAACGTTCTGAAATGCTGCTGTGAAGGGGAGAGAAAAATTGAATGTTGGGGAAAAGAAATCAAGTGTGGGGTACTGGCAGGTTCTCAGACTATCCTGTTTTCCCGTCCCCAGGTCAGGAGCTCCTGACCCTCCCCAAGGTCCCTGGGCAGGCAGGGGTGGATGCACTGCTGGGTCCCCACTGCAGGCTCAGAGTGCAGCCCTGCTCCTCCCTGAAAAGCCTTGTTCAGCAGCTCCCTCCGATGGGTCAAACCTTTGCTCCTGAATGGGCAGATTCAGGCCTGAATGTCGCTATTTAGCCCCAGCTGCCAGGGGCTGGAGCACGTAAATGGGTGAACTCTCGCACAGAACGATGTCATTGATTTGATGGAAAACCTCGGCAAATAATTCCCCCTCAGTCCCCCAGTGCTCGCTCAGGCCAGGCCGGAGGCTCATTCAGCCCTCGCTCAGGGGAATCTTTGTTCATCCCCTGCAAGTCCCCGTCACCATCACCGTCCCTGACGCTGCTGTGGCCCCATCCAGCCCCTCCCCTGCTGCTGGTCGCAGGTATTTTCAATCCCTCCCTGCAAACACCCCTCCCAGCCCAGTCCTTGAGCCTCTCTGAAAGCAGCAGCACCCCCATCCAGCATCTGTCTCTCTGTCTGTCTGTCTGTCCGTCCCCACCATGGGAGCTGGCTGGGGACAGGTGACAAGGCACCACAGCTCCAGTGTACCTGTGAGCTGGGAGCACACAGCACACGCAGGTCCCATGGGTGGTACCTGGCAGGGACAGAGGGTCTCTGTGTGCCATGTGTCCCTGTCAGCCCAGGGGAGAAGGAGGGAGAGAGGGAGGGGAGTGAGAGCCTGCACCACACGTGCTTGGCGGGCTCTGGAGGAGCTCTTGATGGAAACCAGGCTTCTCCAGACCAACACAGCTCGACTCCCACACGTAGCGAGCCTTGGCTGAACATCAGCTCCTGACAGAGCTCCTGTGTGCATGCACAGGACAGCATCGCTGCTGCTGCGCTGCTGCCACAGCCCTGGGGTGTGACAGGGACACAGCACGGGGATCACTGACTGCTGGCACTGTGGGACATTGGGGTGTGACAGGGACACAGCACGGGGATCAGTGACTGCTGGCACTGTGGGACACTCTGGGGTGTGACAGGGACACAGCACGGGGATCAGTGACTGCTGGCACTGTGGGACACTGGGGTGTGACAGGGACACAGCACGGGGATCAGTGACTGCTGGCACTGTGGGACACTCTGGGGTGTGACAGGGACACAGCACGGGGATCACTGACTGCTGGCACTGTGGGACACTCTGGGGTGTGACAGGGACACAGCACAGGGATCACTGACTGCTGGCACTGTGGGACACTGGGGTGTGACAGGGACACAGCTGATTGACCATTGGCACCGTGGGAACAGAGGATGTCCCCACTCGGGGGTTGTGTCCCTGCAGGTCCCAGCACCAGGCCCTGAGGCAGAGAATTGGTGTCAGTGCTCAGAGACACTCAGTGGAATGTGGCCCCCAAATGGCAGCGGTGACAGAGGTGACACCCCATCAGGCAGGGCAGGGGGGCTGGGGAGAAAGGGACAAGCCATGGCCACAGGAAAGAGGCTTGACCACAGGAAGGAGCCAGCAGGAAAAGATGTGCTGTGGAAAAACGAGGCTCCATCCCACGCTGGGAGAGATAAGTCTGTATTCTCCCTTGTTTTAAGTGTCGGAAATGTTTTCCGCCCCGATACAAACACTCGGTTGCCAAAGGCTGCTGCTCTGCACCCCCAGAGCCTGGCAGGAGGGAGAGGCAGCTGCAGGGCCTGTCCTGCTCCCCCAGCACCAGGACCCAAGGATCAAGGAATAGTGCCATGCTCCAAGCTGGAATATCCCTGTGAACAGCACACCAAGGCTCAGCACTACCCCAAGGACCCTGCCTGCTCAGCCTGTCTCCATGGAAACACACCAAAATGAATTTGATCAGGAGTCCTGAAGGGCTCCTCTCCCTTCCATCATCAGGAAGCAATGCCAAATTTCACCATTTGTGGTTACAATAATTTAGTAGTCAAAATGAAACTCCATCCCCGCCCAGAGCTGCCCCAGCCAGGCTGCAGGGCAGAAGTGGGGAGCAGCAGTGCCAGGCATGCCAGCCTCAGGAGGCACACAGAGAACTCGGGGCTGGTTTTATGTGTAGATTAACACACCTTCAGAACCAGCAGCTCTGGAAGGATGTGCCTCACAGCTTGCTCAGTGAGGACCTACGATTTTCATTTTAACCTTTGACAGCAACCACAGGTAACCAAAAACCACAAACATAAAAGTGCTGCTACCGCTGCAAAAGCCACAGGTCTCTGACAAAACTCTGCTTTTTCCTCCAGTGCTTAGAATTTAAACCAGAAGGAAACCATCACCACAGAAGAGAACCACGGGGGAACAGGGTGAGCAGACACAGCCAGAGAATGGGGCACGGAGGTGCTGCTCGAGGATCTGCAATGCTCCAGGTGTCACAGGTGCACATCCTTAATTAGCTTCACTAATTGCAACCCAGAGGTCACAGTCTGTGTGACTGCAATGGTCCTCTGTTCCCAAGAGAGGAAACCGTGCCCCTGAGCACACAGAAACAGAAGTGGCTGTGACAACCAAGCGGTGACAGCTATGGGGACCAGCAGGATCTCTGAGCCAGGACAGGAGGGCCCAGCCTGGGCTGCCTCACTTAACACCACAGGGACACAATGGGACATCGGGTGTTACACAGGTGCAAAAACCAGCCTGATTTTTAGAAATAAACACTTTGAAAACCAACAGAACATCCCCAAGTGTGCAGGAGAGTAGGTGTGGAAGGTACACATCACATTGGCCAGAGTCAGGCTGCCAGCACCCTCACCCCCGTTATCCACACCCAAACAGCCCTTGTTTACATGACACTCTGGCTCTGCAGCAGCTGGTACACACAGCACCACCCTGCTTCTTCCTAGGAAACAGCCAGGTGGGAATTGCTGCTCCTCCAGAAGCTAAGGGGCAGAGCAAGCAGTGGGTTCAGCAGCCCTTTGGCTAATCCCCATCACACGCTGCTCCCAGGGAGCAAATTAAAGAGGAAAAAACAAAATAGAAATACCGCCCCTCGACCTCATCATCTTTGCAATCATTGGCCAGTGACACTTCCAGTGCAAAGGCAATCCTGAGTTTAATCTGATCCAGCTGAAGGCATGAATAGCTGAGCAGTGATGGGGCTGCAGCATCCCTGCCCTGTTCCTGGGAAGGGACAGGATGTCCCAGCCCACCACAGAAGGTGGGAAGTGATGTTCACTGGTCCCCCTGTCTGCATCTATGCATGGGCAGCTCGGGGAAGTGCAGCCAGCAGAGATTTCCATGGGGGAAAAGCAATTCCTGAGGTTCTGCATCTGCCCGACCCACAGATTGCAGTGCCAGAGCAACTCAGCCACAGTTTCAGCAGCCCATGAATAAAACCCATAAGAATCAACAGGGAAAACACAGCCCAGGTTTGATTGTGGAAGTGCAAATAACCAGAACAAAGCTAAGCAGGAGCTCCATCTTTGCATTTTGCTTTTTTCTTCTCCAGCTTGAAAACAGAACTATCAAAGCTGGCCACACACTTTCCGTTCAAATAAGCAAACAAAAGACAACAGAAGTTCACTCTGCCCTTAAACAAGGCATTTTAAGACATAGAGATTGTCAGGTTGGGATCTGAACCCTGGCAATCCACTTTTGTCAGGAAAACGTAGCAAGACCCTGACCCACAGCAGCTGAGGACACACCTACATT